TGATCATGTCTTGCTAAGCTCTCTGGGGGTTGGGGGAGGAATGTCCAAAAGCTGCTTCCTATCCCCAAGTATCCCTGAATCTCACTACAGATACTCCTCTCCCCTTCTGGAAGAGCTTGGCCTAAAGGTTACAAGGGCCCAGCTCAATTTGAGTGGCTGCCAGGATTAAGGGAAGGTTGGTGGCAATTTCTAACTACAATGAAATGCCCATGGCTCAGGCCGATCTAAGACAAAGTGGTGCTTCTCTTTAGAAGGCTCACTGCCTAACCCTTCTTCCGCCTCGTTGGAAGACGTGGGCAAATCATTGTTTTCCTCTGTGTGTACCAGACAACCACTCATGTCAACCCAGGGGCTTCAGGGCAGGCTGGGCTCCCCAGCCCCACTCCCGCCAGCTCACTTCACCTCTGCCAATGAGGAGTTCCCCAGGGAAGCAGGCTGAGCTGTCTGGCCAGGCTGTGGTTGGGAAATAAAAAAATAAAATAAAAAAAAAAAACAGAGTTGTTGGGGCTGGCTGGCCTGGCGTGTCTGGCTCACTCCCTGTCATTTGGCACGGTGGGCTTCCTTGTGCAGGTGCACTCTGCCTCTTCCCTGTCATGTCCCACAAACCATCTGTCCCAAGAGACAGCTCAACAAAGTGGGCTCCCCTCTGGTTAGGAAGCAGAAAGCCTGCCTGGCCTGGGTGGATGCTGGCAGGGAGAACAAGAAGACAGAGTAAGAGTGAAGCTATATGCTAAAAGCAAGTTTAGAACTTTTTCCAAAGGGTTTTTCTCTAGCAAGAGGGTACCTTTCATGGGGGAAGGGGAAGAGGAATCCAAGTTAATAACTATAGTATTTCGTTGACCCTAAGACACCTTAGATAATAAGATGTCCATTATTTTATGTACCACTAAAAACGAAAAACAAATGTTGCCTATTAAATTGTGTCGTGACACTATTAGATACATTCCAATTTTAGAGATGTGAAGACGTGAAAAACCATATGTCTCAGAGTCAATGAAATAGAGAAAAAATTCCTTAAAACTGAGGTATTGCCTGCAGCACACGCGCGTACACGTGTGTGTGCGCACACACACATACACACCCCAACCACACAGGGCATATTAAGGCACAGTAGGTGAGCACAGTCAAAACCCCAGCTCACCTCTGTGCTGTGAGAACAAGCACAGTAACCACACTGTCTGGAAATAGGAACTTCTTCCACTGGACCAAACAATGCAGTATATAAACCCTCTCACACCCATTGATCTCCCTGGATTCCTCGCAGCTGCCTATGGGACAGGCAGGACAAGGGTATTTATGACCAGTTTACAAATGGAGTTCAGAGGACATGTGCCTTTTCCAAGGGCACCCAGGACCTAAGAGGGGAGAAGTGGGACAGCAGGCCGTGTCTTCTGGGTTTTCCTGCGATGCCGGTTTCACTACTACAGGACGACCACTATTTAGGAAGGAAGTAGAGACACAACTAGTAAGGGTGTCAAGAAGTGGCTTTTAACCCCTTTTCCCATGAGATTTTTTACAAGACCTCAATGCACAAAACAGAATAAAATTAGAGTTTCTGGAAGGAGCAACAGGAAAGGCCAGAACCCCACCCACTCTGCTCTCACCCACCTCCTACCCCCAAGGTGGCCTCTAAGGCACTTGCCCAGAATGTCCGGGGTGCCAAGGGACAATTTCTAAACCTCTAGAGTAAGGGGCCTCAGTTGTATTGGTAATGTTCTTTTTCTTAAGCTAGATTTAGATATCATTTTTTTATATATTTTGCTATGTCTTAAATATTTCATTTTTTTAAAAAAAGCACTCGCGTAGGTGGCCAGGTCAAAGAGATGACTCAACCTGCCTGGAAACTTAAAAGCAAAAAAAGTTTGCTTTGAATTATGAGCTTGGGTGAGGCCTGGGCACTGAGATTTTTAAAGCTCCCCAGGTGATTCATATGCAGCAATATAGACAAGCCACTGTACTATATAATATCTCATCAGCTCCCATTTGCTAGAAACCTGAGGGTATGTCCTGGAGTGCACAGGAAGGGCCCTCCATTCTTGGGGGACAGAATATCAGAGAGCTCGGGGTCTTTCGAAAAATGCAATAGCATTTTTAGCAAAGAGCTAAATAGCAAAGAGCTTGGAGCTCCGGGAGACTAGAGAAGGAGCCGCGGAAGGGACGGCAATGGCAGGCTGGCCCCATCTCTACAGTCCTCTGGATGGAGAAGGGAGGTACACAAGTGTGCAGGGAGGCCTGGTGGCTGGAGCAGTGGTGAGGCTGGGAATGGATGGTTGGACAGGACACTCTCTCTGTGGCTCATGCTGCTGGTCCTGCTACCAATATGGCAGGGAAGCATCCACCCTCATTGCTAAGACCTCTTCATGGGGACATGCGGAGGCTACCGGCTGGCTGGAAGGCGGGAGTTATGGAACTGAAGTTAGGGAGTGGGCTGTGGAGGACATCTGACATCAGCAACAGGAGCAGCCTCTCCCTGCTGCATCCCTGGGGGCACATAAACCCCTCTGGCCAGCAGCTGAGACATCCCAGGTACACCATCCAGATGCTGGGCAGGATGCCGACTGTAGGGAGAGCAGGTACAGGCAGTAACAGAGTCCTTGACTTCCGCCAAGGTTAGTAAACCACGTGCCCTTTGAATAAACCACTGCATTTGTCAGGCTGACATCTGTGCGTCGGTACTAGTCACTGGCCTTGGCAAACCAGGACAAGGGAAAAACTCATTGGGGATCAGGTCGTCACCATCCCAAGCTGTTTTTCCACCCTCGGGGGAGGGGGAGTGGGGGCTAGGTGACACAGTCCATGAGCTGGTGGGGCTTTTGCCACACAAACAACAACTCGATGTGCCACAGTGAAAGAAGGGGGGACTCTGGTGGTGACGAACAGCTACAAAGGATATGGAAAAGCAGATGGACACCTTGCACACCCCCTGCTCAGAGGCCCAGGGAAGGGTCTAGTGAACAGCTGTTGTTGGCCTTGGTGCTCTTCCCTCACACGACTGCCCTCTCGTCTAGGACGCCAGCCACACAGAGGCCTACAGAGAAGCAGGATGGGGCCCCTGGGCAAGGAGCTTGAGGTGCCTGAGTGAACAAAGGCATCCTGGCCCCACCCAGGAGAACCCATGAGCTGTGCAATGGCTTGTGCAGCCCGGGGTTCTCCCACAGGGAACAGGGGTGCCGCCTACCATGTTGCAGCACTCAGGGATAAGGTCACTGTTCACTGAGCACCTTCTAATGGAACCGGTCCTGTGCTGGGACTAGAGGACAATCCACACCCTGCCCGGCCCTCCAGGGGTTTGATGGCCACAGAGGGAGGCAGGTGGCAACCAGAGGCAGCAGCAGGTGCCGCTGGAGCCAAGGGGACAGGCACCTCCCACAGCTGGGGCTCAGGGAAGCCCGCAGGGAGGAGCTAACGCTGGAGGTGAGGCCTTAGGATGAAAAGGGAGAGTGGAGAGCTGAGAAAACAGTGCAAAAGAAACGAAAGGCAAGGGAAGTGGCAAAGGACATGACAAGGCCATGGCCAGGCCACAGGGAGTGCAATCTGGCTGGAGCTGAGGGCCTCTTCACATGGTTCCCTTGAGAGTGTGGGGTGAGGAAACGCAGCTAAAGACACTTACAGGGCCCGTGTGCCACACTAAGGAGCCTGGACATTAGCTTCTAAGGTAATCTTCCCAGGGGCCCAGGGAACTGATGCATATTTGCAGTTGGAAAAAACTGTGCCTGCAGGAGGAAGTACAGACCGGAGCAGGGGATGGGCATGGGGCACTGCCCAAGGGAAGATGGGAATGGCCCAGGCTGCTGGCCACTAGCTCTTTCTGAAAAGGAAAACACAGAGAAAGACCACAGGCCGATTCTCCTCACCTCCTCTCCACCAGCACCTTTCTGGCCTTCCCTGGCCATGTCGGGCCCCCTCTCTTCTCTTGTGCCTTTCAGCTCTGCTCCAGGGCTGCTCCTGGCAAGCCTGGGGTCCTCTGCCTCACGCGCACATGGGTCTCTGCGTTCTCTCTCTTGCCTTCCGCTTCACTGCCTGGCTCTCCTCCCACTTCTCTAAGGCCCAGGGGTCCCTGGGCAAGGGTCTGCCCAGTAGTGCCAGCAGAGAAGAGCCTGGCAGAACGTGGAAAGCTCCCCAGTGTAGTAGAACACCTCAGCGTTCTCCGTTTCTCCCTGCCAAACAGCGACAGCCGTGCCGGTTGGCTCCCCACACTTCTGCAAGGATCCTGAGAGGTAATGTGTCTAGAGGGGTTTAGCACTGTGCCTGGCACACAGCTGTAGCGACTGCTCTGCAAGCGGAGAACCTGAGACAGCAAGAGAAGTAGTGACTTGCCCACGCTGGTAGTTTTCTGGTCCAGGATTGCAAGGCCCTGCCCCATTCATAGCCTGGGTGCCGAATGAGGAGATCTCCCTGTACTGCCTGCCTCTCTGGCTACGTCCCTTCTAGAAGGAGCAGCACTGGCAAAAGCCCAAGCAGGGCCTGTGCCTGATGCAAAAAGGCAGGCCAGGCCAGTCAGTCACCACAGACTACTCAGTGGGTAGCCTTGGAAAAGCACGTCTGACTGTTCCCCAAAGGGCAGGACTATCGTGCTCACAGTGTGACGCACGGTGGGCACAGGCCTGTGCTGCTGGGCACTGAGCTGGCCCTTAGGAAATCTGGGTTGTGTGGGCCTGAATGGGTTTGGTTTCAAAGTTGCCCTCCCCGGCCCAGTCATCCAGCCAGGCCCCGAGCACCCCAAGGCCCAGAGAGCCCAGCAGATGTGCCGGGCCGCTAAGCCTGCTAAGAGCAGACAGCCTGCTGGGTCCCCGGCAGCCTGGGTGGACGTAGGCAGCGCGTGGGAATTCAAGGCCATCTAGACAAACAGCTCCCAAGGCCACACTGTGCTAAGAGGGCCTGGCTGGCCTTTGGGGGTCTTCCATAGTGCGTGGGGGGGGGGGCAATAGCCCATTTTGTCTACTTTGCAAAGCGGAGGGCCTTCTGAGAGAGTTCTGGGAAGCAAGGTCAGGACTCCTGGGTTCTCATAAATCTTTTAATAATAGTAAATGAAGAAAACACTGTAGCAATAAGTCTCATGGTGAGGGTTCCTTTTCATTTGGGGATCTTCAACAACAGAAACACCTGAGACTAAAATTCAGAACGCTAAGTACACAAATTAATGACCATTTATTTCCAAAGGTGACTGCAGAAACCATTTCAGTACAATCAAAAAGGTTTTACAAAACAGAGAAAACACAATTACAAAACGCCCCAAGAGGTGAGCAAACTGGTGGGGGCACAGAGCACCCGAGAAGCAGCCTGGAAAAAACACTCACCCTGCTGCTGTTTCGGGGTTACAAAGACTGGTTCTGAAGGGAGCCACTGTGGGGGGGGGGTGGGGACAGAGAGGGGTCTGCCCAGTGCACAGCAATCGCGGCTTGAAAACGAGGAAGGGCGGGATGGGGGGTAGGGCAAGAGGGAGGGGCAGAGGCATTTGCCAAGTTCCTGGCAGAAATAATCACACAGGCCAGCCTATCATGACTACAATGACACCAGTATAATTGAAGAATTCTTTCAAAGAGAACACAAAATTGACACCAAAAGAAAGCAAGAGTTTCCAAAACAACAGCTTTGTTTGAAAGGACTTGTTTTGTTGTGTTGGTTCTTCATGGGGTTTTTTTCTGTTTCGTGCCGTGAGCAGCAAACCAGTGTACAAACACGTCACAGACGAGAGCAACCACAAGCGACTAGGTTTTCCTGAGCACGAACTGGCTCACTCTATATACACAAGGGGAAGGTTCCACCCTCTCACTGACTCGACCCACCCCAGAGAGGGCAGGGTGGGAAGCGGGGGGGGGCTCTTCCCAGACCAGGGTTTTGCCAGGAAGCCCTTGAGAACCTTCTGGAAACCCTCCCATACGCCTGCTCCTGACAGATCCCAGCCAGCATCAGCGTCTTGTCCGACAGCAGCACACGTGGTCCTTTATTCCTCTTCCCCTAGCACCCCTTCAGTAGAAACCAGTAAGAAAATCCTCTACTGAAGGGGATAGATGATTCTTGGTCAACATCTACAAACCCAGGGAAGTCTTTTTGGCAGAGGGAGGGGGAGAAAGGCCCCTTCTGGCACCCTCTGGGCCGCCAGCTCACCCCCAGGGCACGGCCCCACCCCATTTAACACCAGTGCCCAGATACCTGCTGACAATTTGCTATCTGTGGGGAGCTGCCTGCAAGACACTGAACTACCAATGATCACAAATATCAAAACCCTGACGGAGGCTACAGCGAAAAGGATGATAGGACAGCGAGACTGAGGTACTGTATGGTAAAGTGCGCCGGTCGCCCTGGTTAGCACGACGACCCTGCCAGCAGCTTCTGTGAATGCTACAAAGTCCAAGGAGAAAGAGAGGTTGCCAACTTGGGGAGGATGAATCTGACTGCGGAACCAGCCGACAGAGGGACACGCCACTGCGCCTCCAAGAGGAAGATGGGGCAGATCACCTTTGGTGTACAAAACCTAATACTCGGGGAGGGGAGGACGGAGGGCAGGTGTGACCATCCCTCTGCTATTCAGAGTGGATGCCACGAGCTGTCCAGCTTGATAGACTGTCCTCAGCCCAGATCCTCCGCCAAGGCTACCTAGAGGTTGAGGGAACACTCTTTTCCCTTCCAAGAGCTGTCTGAAAGGAAACTGTCCTCTTCTACAAACACACTCTCACATACGCACAGAGCTCCCACACACTGGCAAATGGCATATGGAAACTTGGCTGGGGTGGCTGGGGAACCGCCTTGGCACTGACAGGAAAGCCTCGGGGAGGAGTCGGGAAGCCAGGGCCCACTGGTCATTGGGTATGCACGCTACGGTTTCTCCGTCACCCCCCGCGCCAAAGCTGGGGCAGAAGCAGGCTAGCCATCCGGCAGGTGTGAGGGCTACCCTCTAAGCCAGGCTGCCGGGGCTCTGGCCGGGTGACCTCTCTCCACATGGGCTTGGCCCAAGGTCAGAGTGAGACAAACACCAGTTCAGATGCCTGCTGCTCCCCAACACCCCAAATACAGCCAGGACTCCCTGCAAAGCCTGTGGACCGGGCCTACTATCTGTTCCTTTGACCTACATGTTTCTGAGCCGACTTGGTCCCCAGAAGCCCTGTGTTTCCTCTTCATCCCCCCCTACCCCTGACAGCTGTATCTGTCTCTGGCCTGGCCACGCCAGGCGTATAATGGCTTTCACTTTTTTCTCTCCTTTGGAGCACCAGAAAGTGCCCACCAGAATGGGGCGCTGAGCCAGGGCAAAGGCAAGCTTCTGGAGGCATGCCAATGTGGGGAAAGCTCAAGCTGCCTGGCCACCTGGGCCATGCCACAGGGACAGGGGGAAGAGAGGGCCTACACAGTCACACCACGGCGACATTCCAGAGCTGGTCCCCAGCTGAGGTAGGGATCCTCTGCCTGCAGCAACTCCATGTCCTCCTAGTAGGGGACAGGCCAGGCCTCCGGGGGATTCTCCCACGACCTGCTTCCAACCTCTCCTTTTGTAAAGAGGCCAAGGGGCACTGAGTCCTTGTACGTTCCCTCACCAGCCACTCCTACACACAGCAGCTTGATGGCAGGCAGGGCCAATCCGGCCACTCAAGAGGTGCCTCTTTAGAAGGCAACCCTAGGGTGAGCAGCACTAAGAAAAGCTTGGCCCGGCCCTCAAAGAAGGCAGAAAACAAAGGTGACATGTCAAAAGGAGCTCATGGGGAGCAAGGGCACCGAATGTTCTTCCCTCTTGCGCCCCACACCCTGGGGACTGATTCCCTCGATGCCAGGAGGCCTCTGCCGTAGGGCAGTCCCTCCCAGGGCTGCTTCCCTGGGCCTCAGTTCACTCAGAGACTCTCTGCCTACTCCCGACTCCTACAGGCCCATTTGCTAAAGTCATGACCACTGAGTCACTGAAGCTCAATGTGGGTCTAACACAGACAAACTTGAAATACTGGAACTTGCCTAGGGCAACTGGGCTGCCTAGAGTGGGGGGAGGGGAGGCTCACCAGAGGAAGCCATTGAGTGATCTCTTCTGCTCTTGAGCAGATCTGTTCCTAGTAGGCGTCAACAAGGAGTCAGCAAATGCCCAGTCCCTGCCTCCCCTCTTGAGGTTCATGCATGACTGAGCTGAAGTCCTTCAACAAAAGCTCCTCCTTGCAAAGCACTTGAACCTCCACCCATGGGGACCTGGTTCCTTGGCAGCTCCCTTTCAACCGAGACATGGGCTTTGGGGGGGCAGGGTGGACAGCATGTGATGCCCCCCACATGAAACAGCTCGGTACTTAGTCTGGCTCCACTGAAGGAATCTGGCCCTAGGAAAACAACACTGGTAGGAGCCACATCTCTCCCAAACCCGGACACTGATATACCCTGTAAAACCAAGACATGGATCTATAGGAACTTCCATGAATGGGCCCTGACGCAAGGACTCTCCAAACTCAAACATCTCCGAACCAACTCCAGCTCATTCTTCCATGAAGCTGCCATAGAGAAAGAGAGCGCGCGAGCAAGAAAGAACATATGAGGATACACTGAAGGGGCACTAAAGATTAAAACGGTATCTACTATCAACATCAAACTGAGACTGAGAGTATATGATTCAAATCACAGTTTTCTCAAGTTACCACTTCCATTGATTAATTTCTGTGCTCATTTCTGATTGGGATATGGGTCAGTTCTCAGCTCTCATGGGCAGAATTTACACAGGGTCCTGCCTAGTACTGTGTGAATGTTGACCCTCTTTGCTTTGGATTTGTTGCTGCAATAGATCTCCAACCCCCTCGATGGAAGCCCTTGGGCTGAGCGGCGCTCCCACCTCCTACCCCAGGCAGCATTCTGGGGGTGCTGGTTGGCTGCTTGCTTTGAGTCATGGGACACCAGTGGGAAGAATCTGGCTGGTTCTATTTTGACCATGAGCTGGGAAATCCCTTGGCTCTGGGCTTGCCGCTGGTATAGAAACAAGGCCTCAGCTCCCTGACAGTGGGGGCTGTGCTGGAGACCAAAGGGGACCCTAGCATAAGCCTGGAGGTCCCTGGCAGTGGAGAGATGAAACACAACCCAATGTCATCACTTCGGTGCCAGAAGAACTACTGCTTGTTGTTCCCTTTCTCCTCAACCAGCTGTTGTAAAAGCACCAACAAGCAGAGTGAAAGAGCCACTGACTCCAATCTCCCCATGTAAGGCCACTAGGAGCAGAGAGAAAGAGCCAAGGGGAAGGAGGGAAAATCCAAACCCCGGGTCTGAGGAGACATCCTGAGGGGAAGAGCTGGGGAAGGAAGAGTGGTGGAAGAAAGGGACAGAGAAGAGGAAAAAGAAATACACCAAACATCCTACTGCCCTCTCCCATGATTTCATCAAGAACTGGGTGTTCTCCAAGTCAAGCCGGGACTTGCTTCCTCAGGGAGAAAAAAAAAAAAAACAACAACAACAACAAAAAAAAACCCCAAGCACCTTCAGTCTATTTTCTTGGCTGGAAGCCGGAGCAAATCCAGCAGATATTTACACAAGGGCCCAGCCATGTATGAGAACAGGATGACCAGCTTCCCGTGGGTCATGGTCATGAGAGTCTGGTGTCCCGAGGCCCAGATGCGATACCAGGGGCCGTAGAATGGGTCTGAGATGGCCGGACACAGCATGTTGTTCAAATTCACTTCGGTGACCTGCAGGGACAAGGGAGGTAGAGTGAGCGTTCACCATCCTTAGGCTTTCTCTGGCTTCTGCCAGTTCAGCCATCTCTACCTAATGGGGGACTAGACAAGGAGGGATTGACCAATCCCCGCCTGTTCATAAAGGGACTTCTTCTCTCCCCTAGGTTTTCTGAGTGAGTCAAGGCTAAAGCCCTGTGGAGGTGATGGGAGAAGGCTGTCCAGGGAAAAAGTGGTTTGGTTTTGCTCAGAGTCTTGCCTTCCAGTTGGGCCCAGGGCCCGTTGCCATTTCTAAGCATCTACTATGTACCTGGTCCCCGCAGAGGTGTTATGGGCTAGAAGTGCAGTCAACAGTGTGGTCCCTGCCTCTTTGTAACTGGCAATCAGTCAAGTAGGGGTGACTCGTTTACAACATTTGACCTCAAACCAGACAGTGCTGAGTTTTACAAACCACGAGGAGGTCTGAGGAACATACGGAATGGGAGCTGAGTCCTCAGAGAAGATTTCATAAGGGAAGTGGCACCTGAATGGACTCATGAAAGATGGATACGGGGTTATGGTGAGGAATGGGGTGAGCAGAGCCTTTTTTGGAGGCGGCGTGGCCTGAGCATGGTATGTAGGGTGACATGAGCACACTGACACCTCTGGAATCAAGGATCCCAGGGGAGAGCAGCAAGAGGTAAGGGTGTGGTCATCGTACTGCTGCCTCCCACGAGCACAGGAAGCATTCACACCGTTGGCAAGGAGCTCAGACTACCCCCTGGCAAACCGGAACAGAGCCATACATACACCAAGGTGGGGAACAGAAAGTGACTGCTTCTAAAAAAGGCGCTGGGGACATCAGTTACACACCCTAGCCGTGCTAGGTCGCGCGAGGCTCCACACGGCTAATGCTGTATTAATGCCACTCACATGCAAAACCAGACATGCCACTCCTGCCCCGAGGAGAGCCACAGCATCTGCCTTCCAAAGCCCTTCAAGCCCGTTCACGTTAAAGACAAGTCCTCACCACCTCTCAGGGAGGCTGGGGCTTTTAATACCATGTCACAGAGAGGTGGAGAACTCTCTACCCTCGAGGATAAAGTGACTCACTCAGAGCAGTCACAGAGCCAGGACTTGAACTTGGGTCTCCCGACCCTCAGCCCCAGCCCCGAGCTCTTCCTACTCACTTTGCCACCAATATATGCCCTTGCACTCAGCAATCCTGGGCTCTGGATGACTCAATTACTGAGTGTAATCATTCTCCACACTCCAGACAGTTCTAAACAGCCCAGAATACCACAGGGGGTCCCCGATACCACACTTCCACTAGCCACACAGCTCAGGGCAGAGCACCGCCTTCAGGACCTGTGAGCAGGCCCAGGATGACCCAAGGACAGAAGACTCTCCCAGGTCCAGGGCCAAGGTCCTGCCTTCCTGTGGGGTCCACAGCAAACCACTTTCCAGTGGAAGCTCACTGTTTCCGACCCAAGTGGCCATGAGTGAAGGGCATCCTTGCCTCTCCAGGGATGAAAGAAATAGTCATTACTGAAGGATTCAGAAAACTCTTTGGAGAGGTCAAGGCTGTGGATCATAAATCAGCAACCCAGACACAACAATCTGACATCCTGGCCTTTAGCATCTCGTATTTTCAAAACAAAAGCATACACCAGCGCCAACCAGGATTATCAAGATTTATGGAGAACTCCAAACAGAGGGGAGAGAAGGGGATATAACCAAACTTACCAGGCCGAGGATCTGCAAGATGCTGAAGTGATAAAAGAACATGAGGCCAGTTGAGAGAAGAGCCCATCGGAAACTGCTGAGGGGCTCTGGGGTATAAGCACCTGGAGGAAGAGGGGAGATGGTGAGATGGCAAGAACGGTGACCCACTTCTCCTCCTTTGCCCATGAGGGTGCAGGTACTGAAGACACAGCTACTGCCTGCTGAGCGTCCCTTTTGCTGATCAGTGATAGCTACTCAAGAAACAGCCCCAGTAATTAGCTGGGTACTTAAACCAGCCCCTTTTTGATCTGATCTCTGTTCTGCCACTTGATGCTGGGGCCATTACAAAGAGAAGATTTTTTTTTATTATAAAAGTACAACATACTCATTAAAGGAAATTTAGAAAATGTTAAAAAGTAGAAACAAGATGGAGGAGAAGAAGAAAAACCTCCTTAGTACTCTACTACCAGAATGTAACCACTGCCAACACAAGGGTTTGTCGCCTTGGTCATTTTCTCGATGCCTCAGGATTTTTTTTCTCTTTTATAAAATAATAATTGGAATCATGCAATATATAATTGTATAGCCTTCATTTACCCATTCATTTCTTCATGTTTTTAAAGACACACGTCACTGAGGAAGTATGGCGTGGTGGTTGAGAATGTTAACTTTGAAGACAGACAGATTTAAGTTTAAATCTTGACTCCACCACTTACTGGCTACATGATCCTGGCAAAGTTGTTTAAAGTCCCCAAATCTCAAATAGTACTACCTACTTCTCAGAGTTGTCGTAAAGAGTAAATGAAACAATATATTGACAGCAAACCTTAGCTCAGAATCTGGTATAATGTATAAGTGGCTTGATGGATGTTAGATGCTGTCATCGTCATCATTATTTTTCAAATAATTGAATAAAGTACCATATCCAATTCCTGTGCCATTTCCCAGCTACTGAACAAATCTCTCTCGCAGGAACACCCAAAGTGATATGTTTTCCCTCTATCATTGCTAAGAACTATCATCCCAGTAAGCCTGGACATACTCCAGAGTTTGCAAAGCAGGCGCATGGTTTATAGGACATTGTAGGAGTCCCTCTAAATGGGGACTTGGAGGAGGGTTCTCAAGAATGAAAGACACCTGGACCCCTCACCCCAAACAAGTAGGGGCGACATCACATCCTGGAGTACTATTTTCCCAAGTCAGTCTTTCACTGGTTCATCCATTCATTCGATAGTTATGAGGCACCTAGTATATTCCAAGCCCTTGTGCCAAGCTTTGGGGACAGGAAGATGAGAAAGACAGGCTCCCTGCAGGCTCAGACTCACAATCAACAGACAACACAGTGTGCTGGTGCAATGACTAAAGTCTGTGCCACCTGTTATGAGAAAACAAGGCTCGGGCGGGGAGACAAAGAATGCTTCTTGGTAGAGAGAGCATTGGAGTGGAGTCCTGAGAGACAAATAGGACTTCAAGAGGGGCCCAGGCATTGCAAAGCAGCAGCCTGCATGGAGGCAGACATGAGTGAGGCAATCCAGAGAGCCGTGGGTAAGACACAGGGGAGAGTGTGATGCGGGCAGTGAGCAGGGGTAAGACTCGGAGGTTGGCAGGGCTTGTCTGCTCCTGGCTGAGCCACGTGGGACCTTAGGAGCCATGCTGAGGGCAATGGGCTTCATCTCATGCGGCAAGGCCATGAGCTCAAATGCCTCAAGTCTCGGCAGGTGATCAGGAGCGTGACCAGGGTCTAAGAAACATAAGGTGATGCTGGAGACAGGCAAACTGGAGAGCCTCTGCCCCTTCTAAAGAGGGCAACCACCACTCAGCTCCATTCAAGCACTGCCTTGCAGGGATGTGGGCCCAGAGTTGCTAGTTTTTTCACTTTTGCAAGAAAAACCAGAAATATGAACTTCTTTGTGGAATTTCCTGATTTTTTTTTTAACTGTTGGTGACTAATTCAAAGTGTTTTAGGAATGTTCAACAGACCAAACAAAACATGGCATCTGGATGGATTTCAGCCCATGGGTGGCCAGCTTTGAGCTCTGCTGTAGAGCCACAGAATGCAGAGGCAGGTTAGAAGCAGGAAACTGATGTGATCACATGTGTGCTTGTGCAAGATCACCCTGACCAGTGTGCAGGGGTTGGGCTGGACCAGAGAGAGAAGAGGCAGGGAGGTTGATAAGGAGGCTATTGCAGGAGCCCAGAGACGAAAGAGGATGGCCTTGGAAGGTAACAGCAGTGAGGCTGGAGAAGAGCGGGGGGAAAGAATCACTAGGACGAGACAGAAGATTGGATGCTGGGGGGTTAAGGAGAGGAAGGATCTTGGAAGACCCCCAGGATTCTGGCTTGGGCATCACTGGAGTTGATGGGACCACGTACTGTGGTGGAGAAGAGTGGAAAAGACGGATTGGGGCAGAAGGTAAGGAAATGATGAGGCCAAGTTTAGATATGTTGAAATTGAGGTGTCCATGGAATATTATGTGGAAATGTCCCTTTGGTGGCTGGCTGTACTCTAGGACACAGAGTGTGGTGGGTGAGAACGTGGATCCTGGCGCTGGACACATGGAGATTTTTTGCAAATCCTGGCCCCACAACTTATCAGCCTTGGGGCCTTAGGCAAGTCTCACTGTGTCCTGAACTCAGTTCTGCTCATCTATAAAATGAGGCGGCATTGCCTAATTCATAAGGTTGTTGAAGAGATGAGATGCATATCAAAATTATAGTACTGTATCTGGGACTTAACAAATGCCGATTATTTTCATAATTATATGAGTCACAAATTCAGTGAAGAGGACGGGCTGAGCATCCAGATATCAGTGTCATCAGCACACAGTGGTAACTGGAGTCATGGGAGCATATGTAGACTGAGAGAGGAGGAAGGCCAGAGGCAGAATGCCCAGGAACACCATGTAAGGAGGGGGCTGTGGAGGGGAGAAGAGGAAGGAGATGGGGTGACTAAAGCCAGGGTGTGTGGGGGGGTCTTTTGCGGGGAAGCTCAGGCTTGTTCTAGGAACAAAAGGCAGGTTCTCTCATGGCACAACCAAGTCAGAAGGCCTTTGAGGACATATATCTCATCCTCCATTTTATAGATGGAGAAATTGAGATTGGGAGATAGTGTTACGGCAAAACCGCAATAGTGGAGCGCTGGGAAACAGACTTGCACACACTGCCAGAGGACCGAATGCTCGATGCAACGGCCACTTGCTTAGACCTCCGGCGCGCCAAGTTGGATTATCTCTTTCCTGGCCTGCCTACCCCTCTAGAGGGAGCACACCTCAGGGTCGAGGACCACGTCGGGTCTGCCGCCGCCTTCCCAGCGCCCTTGTGTGAAAACGCACTGGCTGTGCACGTTCCCATCTGCAGAGTGCGCGGGCGCCGTGCTGTCGCCCACACGGGAGAAGAGGGGACCTGGAAGACCGGCAGGTGCCTCGGCTGCCACCCAGTTCCCCAGGTGTCTCCTCGATCCAGCCTGTTTGGCGCCACCTCGTGGCAGCTGGGCGGTAGTGACAGGCCCGCGAGGCAGGTGGTGGCTGCAGGCAGGGGAGTGGGTTGTGGAGGGGAGTGTCCTCAGCCAGGAGGCAGCTGCGCCCCGCGCTGGGGAAAGCTGGGCCGGGCTTCTGCCGCGGGAGGGGCAGACCTGCCCTCATCGCCCTCCTCCCCCTTATCGCGCTATGTTATGGGAGGAAAGGAACACTGAGATCCCACCAGGGGACACATTTCTCAGTGCTCTCACTGACCCTTGTCCAAACTCCCACTTCCGTACCTTTCATTCTAGGTTGCATCATCCCTCCCATACCAGACTGTTGGTTCTCTGAGGGAGGGGCTGTTTCTGAATCACCTCTTCACGTCCAGCACCTGGTACACAGTAGGCCCTTGAAAAATAATCACTGCCATGGGTGAATGAATGGCACAGACCTTCTGGAGAATCGTAAAAGTATAACCCTTTGGGCTCAACAATCCTACTTCGAGGACCAACATCAAATACCTAAAACCCCCAACAAACCACCTTTATTTGCACAAAGACATTTACACCCACGCTATCTATAAGATTGAGAAACTGGAAGCAAACCAAATGGGGAGATAAGTTAAGCAAACTATGGTACCTAAATATTGTGCAACAGTCCATTGCCATTCAAATGACAACCAAACTATGTACCTGTATGGAAAAGTTCACAGCAAGTAATGGCAAGTGTAAAAGACAGAAAACCAGCCAGTACATAGATGATAGAAAACATAGCTTAATAGTTAAAAAAAAAAAAGACCTTGGGATCAAACAGCCTTGGCTTTGAATCCTGGCTCTGCCACCACCTATATGAGCGACCTTGGGCAAATTGTGCTGCTCCTTTAAGCCTATTTACCATGTGTGGACTGGATGTAATATCTACCTCTCAGGGCTGGTGAGTGGAATAAGACAAAAGCAGATGGCAGCTCCTATCTTTACTGTGGCAACCACAGCCACCCAAAATCTTATAAAACACTGGGGGAGGAAGGGAATCTTGCAAAGAGGTGATCTTCTCTACGAAGGGGAACTTGCACTGTGGTTTCCATTGCTTTCACTGCTGTTGGTTCTTTTCACTGCAAAACTGATCAAATATTCAATTTCTTTGAAAAATAAAGAAAGTACCCTGAGAATAGATGATCCGGTCTACCTAGATATATGCAAATTGTATGCAAACACACATCATTCTCTTTTTTATATACCTGGATGTGGCCCTTGGGATAATCCCAGTGAAAAACCAGTTTTCTTCTAAAGGAAAAGAGAAACTTAAGCACTTTCAGAAAAATTAAACACATAAAACTTTTTCTTACTTTAAGAAAAAAAATGTGACATTTTCTACTAGCATATTCCATCCCAGGAGGAGAGAAGCATGTCAGCTGCGAAGGTAGTGGGAAACCAAGATAATAGCTTTCTCTAAAATCGATTTCTGCCGGAAGGAAGCTTTATGAGCCCTGGGAAAGAAGTCAAGTGTACTACCAGTAGCCAAGACCGATCCCCAGAAGCCTCCCAAGGGTCCTTTCTCTCATCCTTTAACCACACTGAGGAAGGACTTACACCAATGAGATGAGCTCAGGCAGGGTGGTGTTCCATTCTCCAATCTTCTTCCTGCTTCCTTCAACTCCCTTACTT